CTACCCCTGCTTTTGGAAATACAAATCTGATTACCTTACTTCCCTGCCTAAGATCCTACAAGACATATTCAGCCCTTACCACGGCATGCAAGGGTTTTGATGATTAGTTCCTCATGATCTTCTAAATTCCCCAATGTCTGTTAAGTGCTACATTAGTTCTATTGAGTTAAAAGCATTATGTAAAAAACAAAACAAAACAAACAAAAAAACCAAACAAGTTCTGTGGTCCAATTATTTTGGAAAACTCTAATAAATCAAAACAGTTTTTTTTTTATTGCCAGGCTTTATTCTCATGGTCATTGTGAATCTGCATAGAAAAAAATAGTCTGTGGTATTTCCTAATTTTACTTGGCTGTAGGACACTCTTTCTCCTGAAATCATTCACAAATCCAAGGTTACATTAACCTTGGATTAATATAACTATTAATATAACTAATATTAATATATTAGTTATTAATATAACTAAGTGCATCCCAACTGTAGAATGTGATAGACCTGCCATCCTCAGGCCCTCCTAGTCCTAGAGAAAACTACTCAGCTTCAATGACATCATCATTACATGATTTCAGAGAAACCCATTCATGTCTGATCCCTTGAACTGTGAACAATAGTTCAAAAGGCTACTGGTGGCACAGGAAATTATAGATCCAGGTGAGTCCATCTACCTAATTTTCCTGGAGTTTTTTGTGACGTGTTTGGGGTGGACAACTTGGTCTTCCCCAACTCAAAGGCGAGTCTGATCGTTTTCCCTAACATGTGCAGAGACTCAAGAACCTATCCACGCAAAACATTCCCAGACTGACTCCTGATGGTAGAGCTTTCTAAAAATATGTCCTTTGTACATACTAATATTTATAGTTTCCACAATATTTATGTGTCAGAGGGCTCTCTGATGGCCTTCTTTTCCCTAAACCTATGTCATTCTCACCTTCCATCACTATCACATACACTATTTCCCAGTCATGTCCATTAATTGTTAATACATGATGGAAAGCCAAGCCTCTGGGTCATTATTGGAAGACCTTCCTCTCCTTGTCTACACACTTAAGGCTCATCTGAAAGAGCTCATCCACTATGGAACTTTTTCTTGATTAAAAGTGCCAAGCACTGAATATTTGATTGTGTCTCCACCAAGTATCTTATAATTCAGCATGGCAACATTAGGGTACTTGTCCAATTACAAGCTTGCCCTCCTCTATCAGACTGTAATCATATCACAGTCCATGTCCTACTAGGCTTTGTGATTTAGTCTGAGGTGGTGTTAAGTCATACTAGGCAATGAGTAGTTACTGTATAAGCAGAGAATGAATGAGTGCGATTATTATCGATCTTCATATCACTTCTGTTTCTCTAGCATTATTGGTCAGTTTTTTAAAAAGCAGCATAGTGTGTACCAAATAGAACAACATGTAAGTGTGCATAGCAAATTGCTGCGTTCACAGCTTTTGAATTTCGTATGACTTTGAAGACACCAGGGACTAGTGCAGCAGGAGAGGCTACTCGGTTTCTTTCTAAATTATTGTAACAACCAGCATATTTACTTTTATATTTTACAAAGATTAATAATTATGAAAACATTTATAAAAACAGAAGAAATGTGATTTAAAATGTGAAAAAGAAATTTATAGTGATTTTTAAAGGGGAAAAATAACCTATATGATTAAAAATCGAAATAGATTTCTTTCTGTAGCATAAAAGAAAAACGCACAGAAAGAAAAGCGTGCAGCATCATTTTTTTAGAGATGAAAGATAAGATGTTTTTACATTAAAAAGTAAGAGGAAAATATGCCAATATTCCCTTGGAATTCTAGTCAGTGTGATTAAATCAGACAAAAACAAACAAAAATGAATGGTGAGGGTTGAATCTAATCAAGCTACATTATAAGCTCGTATGGGACTATCACATACTAATACATGCTAATAAAAATGTCTAAAAATGTGCGGCCAGTGGACAATTGTTATAAGATTTTGAAGAAAATATAGATAACTTGATAAGCCACTAAAAAAACCTATCAGAGTTAGTCATTATACAAGGATAAGCTTTGCTAGCTATCCTTTCAAATTAATGATAAGAAATAACCAAAATGATTTTATTTACAAAGGCAATAAAACAAGATACTTCAATATTTTAGGAGTTATTAAGTGAACTATTAATGTTTAACTAAGTGAAATTTAAAACAAAAAACCCACCCAAATCAGTCATCTATCTTTCTGGGAAGAAATAGTGAATATTTTGAGGTCAGTTCTTTTCCAAATATACCTGCAGGTTTAAGGTACTACCTATCAAACTCTTAACACATTATTTTTTTTGGGTGTGGAACTGTGGCTGTGCCTGAATAATTCTATAGCCTACTTGAAAAAATAAATAGAAGAAAATTTAAAGAGGGAGAAAATTGAAATATCTCAGAAAAAAAATCTATCATGAAGCTATAATTATAGAGTAGTTCTGGTCCTGGAAATAGGACCAGTAGGACATAATCTGTCTTATGTCTCTGTAGTAGGTATCTCTGACGTAAACCCCAGCTTATATAAGAATGAGTAAGCATACTCTATCTGTAAAGGAAACATTACAAGTCAATGGGGAAGGATGGTTTCCTCTAAACAGGCCTTGAACAAAGCGACAATACAGAAAAGTGCATGTGAGCTGACATCCACCACCATACTACACAATAAACTCCAGATGGATTCAGATGTTAAAAAGTAAAAATAAAATGTAAAAGTATGTTTAATATCTGGATAAGAAAACATAACAAAACACAGAAATCTAGTAATATATTTAAGGAATCATGAAAGCAAGTGAACAAGTGGAAAGGCCTAGTATGTTTTTGAGCAAGAAGACATTACTGAAAAAAATGCTAATTTCTCAGAAAGCAGACTTTTTTGAGTTCTCTTATTCTTTCTCATTTTTTTGCTTTTTTTGGAAAATGACAAATTATTCCAAAAAACCATCTGTAAGGAAAAAACTGAAGAGAATGGAGAAGAAAAGCCATAAGGGTCATACTGGAGAGTCTTGCCTCATCAGATAGTATTTTTTTGTAATTAAATACAAAGTCGTTTGTGATATAAGAACAGGCAGATCACTAAAGCAGGAAAAGGAGTCAAGGAATATAACACATCAGGGTACATTAATTATTCCATGTATGGCCAAGTTCGAATGAACTTTCTGGAAAGCCTTTTGGCAATATTTATTAAGCATATTAAATGCTCATATGCTATCCCTGGTAATTCTAGAACTCTATCCCAAGAAAGAAGTAGAAGTATCCAAAAGTATTCCTCATGTTTTTATTTTCAAAACAAATATGGAAGCAGCCTAACATCTTTATGACACAGAAATACATAGAATAGAATACTATCCCTTTAAGTAAATAAAAAGAAAACATATTTAGAGACTTGAAAACTACATATGTTAATTTAAATGAAACACAAATTAAGGTGAGAGAACATACTACCAAAATTTCTATTTAAAAAGTAAAAATGAGAAAGAATAAGAGAACTAAAAAAAATCTGTGGTTGTTACCACCAGGGTTTTCTTTGTGTGTGTGTGTGTGTGTGTGTGTGTGTTTTTTCCTCTCTATTCTCTAGACTTTTTACAAGGTACCATCCAAATAAATGTCTTTCTGCAAAATAAGCTGAGAGTTTGGTATCTTTTAAGTCCTATGGAGAGGTCTTCCTTCTGTGTATCACAGGCTACTTTATTCTGGTGTCCCATGGCAGTGCTCATTTCACACAAACTGTGTTTAGTTTGAGGCAAGAGATCAAAACCTGTTGTGCATTTTGGTCAAGCATGCATTTGAACTTGAACTTACCGTTCTCCTAGGTGCTTTCTTATGGTGCATGAGGCAAAAATAATCAAGATGATAAGAAGTATCAAACCCGGAACAATACCTGGGGTGATGGGACGGGGAAGCAATGAATTTCAAATGCCAGAAAAACATGACCTGTTATGAACTGATCGTGGGGACTACTTCTAGTGGTAGGGAAATTGTTATGGGACTTGTATAATTAGCTCTTTTCACCCATAAATACTCAATTCCTGGATCATCAGAATAGGGCTTAAGGTTTTTCTGACTTAATCCAGTCCATGTTTTATGTAAAGCACTAGTACAAGGTGACAGGGTCTTAGACAACTTTCCATTGAATTTTTCTGTTCCTTTCTGTTTTATGAGTACTATTGCTGTCACTGGGGTGAAATTAGGAGCACAGGACATCAGATCCCATGATTTTGCATAGAAACATTTGACTCTCAGTTGTGAAATATGTTTTGCTGCAACAGAATAAGGCTGCCTATTTCAATAATACTAAATCATGCAGTCTACAAAAGCTAATGCAAATGAAACTTTCAATTAAAAAACCAGTAACAGTTGACAGTTTAAATCATTCTTCCAATTGTATGCCAAAGGAACATTTTGTAGGCATATACATTAAAATAGCCTGAAAATACCAAAGAAGATCATATCCAATGAGTTAGAATGAAAAAATATTAACAGGCAGAAAATAGGGCATCTAATTTTACATATATTTATAAGCATCATAAGAGCTATTCTTCAAGTATTTAAGAAAACTTACCACTAATAATAAGAGCAAGTGAACCTACGGAGAATAAGAAATCATGAAAACATCAGTCTAGTGGCACAATTCAATAAACCCAAGTCCCATTCCCTCTGGTAATGTCTCAGCAGTTACAACTCTACTCCCTTCTAAGTCTACTTATGATACATTGGATCCCCGAGTTATAACCATTTTTTAAAATTATGTGTAACAACTCACTGAATTTTTCACTGCAATTAGGTTAGGGGAGTCAGCACTGGGGAAAAATCCAATATATTCAACTCTATAATCAGTGACTTTTGTGAATCAAATGCAAATATGAACTGTCATGGCAAATATGAACTGTTGGAGCACCTGCCAGCAGGAATGGAGGTTTCCATAGCAGCATCTTTCAAAATGGAAGGCCGTTATTTTTACTTCTTTTAGGCTAGTGTTCATGTCTTTTTATTATCTTTTATTTATATCCCTCCTACTCAGGAAAAAAAACTGTGCCTTTTCTAGAATAGACCACTAACTTCAAGTCCATCTGTTCAAAGACCTATGTCAACTGAAAGCCCAGGAGTTTCTAATATTGAGGAAGACATTCCTTCTCTTCTTTCCATGGCCCAGGTACAAACATGGGTGAAGCCCCTCGTACTTACGGGATCTGCAGACAGCCAGTGGAGGGTTCCACTGATGGTCGCCCTGGCACTGGCTTTGGGGGCTGCCCTCCAGAGTATACCCATCTTCACATTCCAAAGTAATAATATCTCCATACTGATACATTTTCCCAAGCTCTGGTCCCTTCTGGATTCCATTGATATTCTCTGGGAAGCTACAGTTTACCTCTGCAATTGAAGTAAGAGTCATATTAAAGTAATTAAAGTAGAGTCATATTTTGTCCTTTTACCAAGAAAGTAGAAGCTTCCATTAATAGAACAGGTTATGAAACCAGCTTATTTCATTCTCAATAAGTCAAGCATCTTTTAGTATAGGCCATCTGTCTCCATAACCTCCAGGTAATTTAAACCAGATTGTTTTCTTTCTTTTTACCTCTATATCTATGATAACAGATTGGATGATTCTAATGGTTTCTTAGAGAAATGGTGAGGGGTGAATGTGTAATATTAAATACTCAGAGTTTTTTCCACTTCTTGTCTTACTCTAACCATTCATACATGCACATTTTTTCTCAGATCTTTTGACTTTTCAATGCAGGGGTTAATAGTGTGAGATCTTGGATTGGAATCCTGACTACTGATTCCTATTTGTGTGACTTTGGATCAGTTACAAATCTTATCTATAAAATAGGAATAATAAGAGTACCAACTTCCTATGGATCTCATGAAGATGAACTGAGATAACACCTGTAAAGTGCTATGTACTTTATCTGCCATATATTAAAAAGTGCTCACAATATTAGGTAGTAACTTACCACTTTTGTTTTCAATACATTGTTTTATGATAATGAAAATGCCTTTCTGAGATCTTTTTGAACATTTTACCCATAGTCCACTATCAATCAGAGGAAATAACTCAAAAAGGCCATGGTGCTTTTTACTGGTATTTTGTCAAATGCACTCAGGATAGCTGTAACCACAGTGTGAACACAACCTTTTCTTTAGTTGTTTAATTTACAACAGCACTTCAACTTTCTGTATGTAAATGACTACAAAGTGGTCATTTTCCAGGCTACAGCTTAAGCTACTTTTTTTATTTTGAGACACTTGGATGTATTAATATTAATGTACTAATTCAATTAAATGATCCAATTAATGCATTTCTCTAGGGTTTTAAGTGAAAAATACCTGACTGAACATATCGATTTGGAACAAATTGATTTACTAGGACAATCAACAAAAAATGGACAAAGTACCTTTACAATAAGGAGTAGGTTGGTTCCAGATTCCCTTGTGTGTGCAGAGAAGAAGTGCTTCTCCCACCAGCAGGTAGCCTTGGTCACAGCTGTACAGGATTGACATTCCAGGAGAAAATCGAGCTATATTTCCACCAGTGTGATTCCCATTGGGAATTGTGGATGGAGACTGACATCCTAAGAAAGCTTAGAGACCAATAAAAAAGGATCTTTAATTCAGCATAGAAATATACTCAGACATCACTAGGTAGTGACAGCAGCACAGAAAGGCAATGGCCAATGGGCCAATTAATTGGTAACTGGAAACATTCATTCCAGCCAGACCAAGTAATGTTGGAAATATATATATATATATATATATATTTCCTATCTATATAATATATGATCTAAGAAAATGTGTCAAAAGGAACTAGAGACACTGGGTCAATGTTTATCTTGGGATGTGGAGACAGATTTCACTTAAGACCACCATGATTCTGGGGAACTGAATTCAGTTGGGCTGCCAGTTGGTGGGCTCTGCTGCAGATAATCATTAACAGGAATGATAACTAAAATTATAAGGAAAACAATTCAGCTGGTTTGAAGTCCAGCTTCATTCTCCAGAACACCCAAAGTTTTTCTGGCTGGCACTCTGGCCTTAAGTATCCAAATTATCAAACGGTATTATTGACATATGTTTTCTAAAGAGTATGAGCATTTTTCCTATTCTTAATTTAATGAATTAAAAATAATAAAATTGTAGACTCTCTCAATTTGGAAGTGAAACATTGCCATTTCATGTACTATTGGTAAATGCACTGAGAAAGGAAAGGGAAAAAAATAATCAGGTGAGAAGAGAAGAAAAGGAAGGTATCTTAAATAACAGTATAGCTACTTTAGCTTTTAGATGCTTTTCTGTAGTCAGAATGCAAGTGCATATTAAAAAAATCTTTATTTTATAAAACATTCCATATTTCATCCTTAAAAGGTCTTACCCTTTCTGATGCAAGTTGGTACACCTGGTACCCATGTGTTATCTGTATGGCACTTTATCAAGTGACTGCCATTCATGATGAATCCAGGATTGCAGGCTATGTATACTATGTCATTGTGGGAATACAAAGAGTGAGTTTCATTCAGTTTGTATCCGTGTTTGACTACTGGGTTAGGGCAGTGAGTTATAGGCGGAGACTGTAAGCATTGTGGGGGAGGCCCACTCCAAGATCCATATCCTTTAGTATCATTTCTGCACTGTAAAATCTTCTCTCCCAGAAGATAGAATCCTGGGTCACAATCATAAGAGACTTTATTTCCATATAGAAATGGTTCTGCCATCATGCCTGTGTGCTTCCCATTGGCAATCATTGGTGGAGGTTGACAGCGAATAACTGCAGAAGAGATTTAGGGAAATCAACTTTAGCTAGTATGTCAAAATGGAAGTCAAATGATGCTATACGCTGCATTACATTTCATATAACTAGAATATTGTCTAAATTTTGGAACCTACATTTTAATTTTGTTGAACAATTTTATTAATTGTTGTGATTAATGTGATTAATATTCACACTCAATTTTTTGTTCCAAATGAAGATTCAGAAAACACATGAAGAAAGCAAGAAATATGTTCCTATGTTCTAGAAATATGGGCTGCATTATTTATGTTTAGCAAAATTAGCAGATATATGGCAAATATTCATTTGTACTTGACAATTTGTTTTCCAAGGCCAGTGTTGACCAAACACTAAATGATTTTCCATGTCTTACCTAACTAAGGAAGAAGCACAAACTATTAGTTACAAAGTAGCTCTTCAGTGACTTGCCTCCTCTAACTCCCCGTTAGCCCAACCCCACACCATAATTTACCTTTACAAAGTGGGATCTTTTGGAACCAAACCCCATTCTTAGCATCTTGACACTTCTCATAAGTATGTCCAGTCAATTGGTACCTACAGAGAGACAGACTATAATATGGTTCCTCTGTCCAACGTTACACCTCTGCAACCTCACCTCTACAAACTACAAATACAGAGGTACTTCTAAGTGAGAACTTTAACAGAGTTCTTGTTGCAAATCAGAAAATTACTTTACACTCAGAGACACAGCAAATCTCTTCCCATGTCCAGATGCAGGGAAGGGTCAGAGTTGCTAATAGGTCATTGGACCTTACGTACTCTGCGGGTGTGACAAGGAAGAACCTCTAAAGGGATTCTCCAAGACAAGCTGTGTGTAGAGTTAATGTACAGTATAAAGTGAATCTTCTTCATCAGAATGGACCATATCACACTCACCCATCTTGGCAGGACCTGTTCACTAGTTTCACATGTGAATCATCTGGAAGCTCTCGAAAGTTTCTTGCAGGCTCACATCCTTCTGGAGGGGCAAAGTTGGAGTTAATGATAGACAACTCATATCAAAACAAAAGATAACTCTGGAACTGCAAGTACCTTCACATCATGGGGCAGGACTCCAGTGTCTTGAAGGCATACAATAGATGGATTTGCTTCCCACAAGTATATAGCCAGGGTCACAAGTGTAGTCTACAGTCATCCCAGAGACAAAGAGGACTGTATTTCCACCTGTATGCTGACCATGGTGGGGCCTAGAAGGAGGCTGGCAGCCTGAAGAGAAAACTCCCCATGTAAACACAGAGAATTTCTACTCTAGAACTATAAGTATACAACTTTTGATGACAGATCATCTGAAACTTTGAAGTCAAGGATTAGGAAGCTCTCTTTCATCATAGAATGCTTTCTTCTGTTGTTAAGGAACAAGGGTCCTCTAAAAAGGCCCTCTCATTATCTATCCTGAATATGTCCTAGATCCAAAGGGGCACTTATACAAAGAACACACAATATGCATAGAACATTCTATTACAGAATGGAAAAAATGGGAATAACCTGTTCCCACCTTGTCATTTCCCATGACTCTGGCTTTGAGAAGGAAATAATAAGCAATAATAAGTAAATAAATAACTTTTTTTAAACCCCTGTTGGGCTTTTACCTTCTTCACAAACTGGTATTTCAGGATCCCAGGTGTTATTGGCTTTGCAACGAATTTGACTACTGCCATTCAAAATGTATCCATTATTACACTTGAATGTCACACTGTCATTGAAGAAATATGGGGCATTCTTTCCAGATATCTTGTATCCATTTGCAATGTGGATATCTGAGCACTGGACAGCAGGGATGGAAAGTTTACAGAGAGGGGCAGGACTACTCCAGGTGCCTCTCTCTTGACCATTGCTTGTACAACGGATGGTGCGCTCCCCAATGAGGTTGAAATGCACTCCTTTCTCTGGCCCAGGATTACACGTGTAAGTGACCATGGTTCCATATGGAACATCTTCTGAAGAACTCCCTGTGTGCACTCCATTGTGGATAACAGGGGGCGGTGGACAGGTGATTTCTAGAGACACAAAAATATATTAAATACTAAAGAATAGAAGCAAAGCTGGTTATGACCCTGTTTTGGGAAGTTACATTAAAGTTCATTAAGTATATAAAATTCAATTTAAACATCTCATACGAAAGAAGACATTTATTAAAAGTGAATTTGCTGATCAATATCATATTATGAGGTAGTAAGGCCCGATAGTTAATTACTAATTAAAGGAAGAATTATTTGAACATAGCCAATGGGAGGATAAAAGGCAGAAGGGAATAGAATTATGCTTTTTGAGACCATCTCTGTGCGGAGGGGATGTGACAGCCCATGTGCTTTGCTAAGTATATTCATTGTTGAGTGAGAACCTAGTTTGCAACAGGCAGTTTCATCATCCAGAAAGTAAGGATACCATCATTTAATTTAATAACTTTGGAATCTATAGTTTTATGCCAGCATTACAGATGAGAAAGTAGAGTTTAAAAGACGTTACACGAATTGCCTACGGTCATACAGCTATTAAACAGTAGGGACAGAATCTGAGTTCAGATCTGATACCAAATCTGATATCAGATACCAAATATCAGATCTGATACTATACTACAGAGTATACCAAATGAAGAATATGACTCATATATTCATCACCATCATTATTCTTATAATCCTAAACCACAAAAGAGAATCAGCAACCAAGTACATTTATTCAACTGATAGAAGTCGAAAGAGGTGATGCAGAAAGATATAACACAACTATGCAACTATAACTTTTCACATTAACAGAACCTAATACAGTAATTCCCATAGCATTTCCATGTAGACTGCACAACATTTCAGATTCTGTTTTATCACTACTCACCTTTACAAAGACGAATCTCTATAAACCAAGGAATTGTACCTTGACACAACTGATAAACACTCTCACTTAACAGGGACCTAGAGACAAAGAGTCACATCATTTGGCCAGGTAATTACCAGTAAGCAAAGCAACAGCTATTGGCTCCAAAGCACATTAACCATTTGCAGGACAAGACATACTAGAAACAAAAGTGTAAGCAGCTTCAGCCCCATCCATCCAATTGCATAGTTTCCATGCATGGAAGACTAGTATGATCCACATTCTATGAGCATGTAACAGGGAAGGACCTTTGAGTCAAACCCTTACTTGTAGTGTGCACTAAGAAGCTAGACCTGGCTGAGGTTCAGACAGACTTCACTTACCCATCACCACAAGAAACATTAACAGCTGGTCTAATAAATTGATCCTGAGGTTTTTTAAAAAGAGGTTCTCCTATGGGTTCACACTCTGCCACTAAGGAAAGAGACAAGGATGAGAAATCAACTCAAGGCAATCTTAAAAGCAGCAAAACATTTGTAGTTGAGGCATTGTTACCTTTGCACTGGGGGGCAGTAGGTGTCCACTTTCCCTCAGGGGTGCAAAGTACGAATTCTTCTCCCACCAGCACATAGCCAGGGTCACAACTATATTTTATAGATGTTCCAGGGTCAAAGTGGTCCATGTGTTTATCTTCTTTTTGGCCATTGAGAATTTCAGGAGGGGCCTGGCATTCTAAAGTGAAGGTAAAAACATAACAATCTTTTAAAGTAAATGACAGAAAGAAATTGAGCCAAAGAAATTGACATTATTCCTACAATTCCACTCTGGTGGCAATGGTAGGACACCGAGGAGATCTTGCAGCTCAGTTTTGGGTAATTTTAGGTCATCGGTCCTCAGTCCTATTTTCTTTTCTGCACTCAGGCTGCTACAGACCTATTCAGTTTCTCTGAGACAGCATAACTTCTCTCCTGTCTCTTCCTTTCTCAAGGAATCATTTCAGATATTTTATGGGAAATTCAGATATTCCTTTGGGTGAGGGCTTTGACAATTTACCTTGTAAGAAATCACTGTTAAGCAGGGTCCAGTGGTTCAGGCACATAATCCTAGTTACTTGGGAGACAGAGATTGGGAGGATCATGGCTTGCGGACAGTGTGGGCAAAAACTTGTCAAGACTCTATCTCAACCCTAGGCATGATGGTGCATGCCTGTCATCTCAGCTACACAGGAAAGCACAAATAATTTTGTTCCTACTGTTTATGGCCTGGGCATAAAGGGAGATGACAAATAACCAACACAAAAGGGGTTGGCAGCATGGCTGAAGTGGTAAAGTGCCTGCCTAGTAAATGCAAGGGACTGAATTCAATCCGGAGTACCACCAAAGCAAAAAAGGAAAAGAAATCACCATTAAGACAAGTGCTCTGCTCCCAGTTTTTTTTTCTTTCCTAAAGAAATGGACAACTTTGTGATTTCTAGTGGCTTTTCTTCCTAAGCATATTTTCAAAAAATAAACAATAGTGGGAAAGGATGTACTTAGTATGTCTGAAGATTGAGGGTATTGGAACCGAAAGGCCCTGTTTAAAGCCCATAAGCCCTTGCTGTAGCTTCTCAAAGAGATGCATCAGTGGTACCTTTCCTACTGGAATACCAACCCTTTTCACAGACCGGAGCTGGAGGTTCCCATGTGCCTTGGGCATTGCACCGAATTCTGCTGCTGCCCTTCAAGGTGAAGTCAGGCTCACAAGCAAATACCACAGTGTCATTATAGGAATACTGATCTTTCTGCACAGATAACATTTGGCCTCTTGGTATCTGGGGATATGGACACTGAACCACAGAAACAGAAAGTTCACAGCGTGGGGCAGGGTCACTCCAGGTCCCAGTCTTCTGATTATTGGTGGTACAACGGATAGTGTTATTTCCAATAAGGATGAAGTCCACACCTTCCTCTGGGCCTGGATCACAAGTGTAAGTGACTGTGCTTCCATATGGAACATTTACTGAAGAACTGCCTGTATGTCTTCCATTGAGAATAGGGGGAGGTGGTAGACAGAGAATTTCTAGAGAAATTACAGAGAGACATGAAAGATCATAGGTGTGCTGCAAACAAGAAGGCATCAGATGCTGCTTGAATTCCCTCTCCCATTCTAGGTTCCAGAACAATGCTATTTGAATCTGTAATGAATCAACCAAGGCAACTAAGGCAATACAATTTAAAAGTATGATTTTTAACTTAATTTCTGAGTATACCTACTCTGCTGGTACCTCAATTCCTATTACCAAATATACAGTCTGTTTTGTGTACATGCCATGGCTGTGTACCTAGCAAGTCTGTGTAACTTTGCAACAAGGAAAAGCTTTTCCTAAGAACTCCATTTGACTTGAGGATGCACAGATTGAAGAGCTAATGGAAGGATGCTTCAGTGAACATGTTTCCTTTAAGATTTCTAGGAGATCTTTGCTTCATCCTCTAGCATATAGAGGCTTTTAGTAAAGCCAAGGATGCAGTGTCTTGTCGAACTCTGTGATTTCATACAGCCACAGTTGCCTAGCCTACCTTCACATACAGGCTTCTTGGTCCAAACAGCTTTCTCTTCAGCAATCACACACTGACTAGAAGGCTGGCCTTGTAATCGATACCTGGAGACAGAGGGTTGTTATTCAGATCCATTAGGCAGTTTGTGCTGCAAAATAAGTCATAATTTAAAACCCAAGACAAGTTCACTCAATCTGTAGGTACCTACTCTTTTTATCAGTACTCTCTCTCTCTCTCTCTCTCTCTCTCTCTCTCTCTCTCAGCCTCACTTAAGACTACCATAGATCTTCGCAGATATGCCTTCTTTCTGTAGCATTCATGGTTCACACTGTGTATGTATAATCTTAATGAAGTAAATCCCATAGACTCTCCTCACACTCACCCCTCATTACAGGAGAAGTTTGCAATTACACCAACCCGAAGACTTAGAGGCTCCTCTACTTGCCCATTTGGAAGTCGTCCGAGAGGTTTGCACTGGGCCTCTAAAGCAACAGGGCAAAAATAAGAAAACATGGCAAATAACCAAACAACCTAATTTCTTGAAATAGATTGTAAATTTAAGATACCTTCACATGTGGGAGGGATAGAATTCCAATTGCCCGAAGATAAACATTTAATGGTCTTTTCTCCAGCAAGCAAGTAACCAGGTTCGCAGCTGTAAGTCACAGACAATCCTGGGGCAAAGCGGTCAACATTTTGGCCTGTGTGCTGTCCATTAGGGATCCTGGGAAGTGGTGGACACTCCAGAGGGAAATCTTTATACACACACAGCAGGAAAAAAGCCATCAGATGATAAGTCCTTCACAATCTAGATGCCAACTTAAGAAAGATCCAAACAAATGGCATGTGATCTATGGTAACCAGTCATCCTTAACTTTCAACTCAGCCTTTTGAACATCAAACAGATGTGGCTTAACTATATCCATTCTACACCATGCCTATTACATTGTTTTTCTTCTTTAATTACACTCTGAATTACTGTTACCTTGAGAAAAATTTCAATGGTCAAAAAGTTTATTTTTGCCCCATCCTTAAAACTTGTTCTCTGACCCAAAAGAAATATATTATTATCTATAGAGTTATCTTGCCAGACATCCATAATATAGTTTACTGGCATTTTACATATAATCCATATATATTATATCCTCATATTCTGTGTGTGTATCTCATATACTATTCCAGTCTGGCTTCTTTACTTAATAATACAGTATGTCTGTGATATCTTTCTGTATCAATACATATAGATCTACCTAAATCTTTGTAAAGACTTGTTTCCCACAGCCAAACCATTTCGTGACTATCTGAAGACCTCCTTCTTCTGAAACTCATTATCCACCTATCTTTTGATTGATCATTCAATTGATGCATAGATAGAATCATATTTTAAATGATATAATAGTCTCTCAGTTGTTTATTACTTTATCCGCATTGTTCTTTATTAAGAAAATAAAAAGATCCAATTTTGACGGTTTAATTTTTGCCAAATATTGTCAATCCCTGTAACTGTAGAATTAAAATTTGAATTTAGATTTCATTAACAATATAAGCCAAACCAAATGAGAAGGAAATGAAGAATGTATAGTAGTAGTTCCTATTTTCAAAGTCATTTGATTTGAAATGTGATAGCTTAGGAGATGACTTGAGAAAGGAGGGACTCACTTCAGAACATGTTTGTCAAGGCCACAGAAAGCAAGGCACCACCTCAGCCAAACTGGATTAACAGATACTCATAGGTGAATTTTACATCCATTGCATGTATTTTTGCTGTTAGCACTCATGTTTCTTCTTACTTTAATAATAATCCAATCAATTCCTCAAGCCTCAATAAACTCTGGCCCCATCCTTGGAAGATCTTTGCCACTCCATTATTAGGTAGGTTTAATTAAATTTTTTTCATAAAACTTCAAACGTTTTTGCCCAATTAATGTTTTTTTAAAGGACAGTCATATTCCTTCACAACTAAAAACAACCAGGAAACCACAATTGTCATCTTTTCCCTTGCTTCGTCCCTCCACCTGTCATCACACATCTATACTGTTCTCTTCGGGAGAATACTAAGCATGGTCTGCCCAGAAATTCTAGACCCCGTATTTCCATACTCACCACTCTCACAAGTCGGTAGTGGTGTGGGCCCCCAAGTTTTATTTGCTTGACACCAGACGGTTTTGTTTCCTTTCATGGTGAAGTTGGCTTTACAGGTGAATGTCACAGAATCACCATGTATATATGGTGGCCTGGATTCTCTATTCCTGTATCCCCCTGGTACTTTGGGCTCAGAGCAAATAGAATGTTTATTGAAATATTCACAGACAGGAGCAGCTTTGTCCCAGATTCCACTCACTTGGTCTTTACTTATACAAAAAATAATCTTTTCTCCAATGAGGCGGAAGGAAGACAGACAAGAGTACTTTACAACTGTACCGACAGGTACGGGGCCAGAAAAAGACATCTTCCGACCATTTTTGATAGGAGGAGGAGGGTCACAAGAAATCCCTGAAAAGTAGAAAAGGAACCAGGTGGGTATACTAATCATGATAACAAAAAGACATAAACTTAAATAAAAGACCCAAGTATACATCATATCACTTTTTTGGAAACAGTCTTAAAAATTTGTATGATTTATTTCTTATCCATGGTCCCTGTTTATTCTCAAGCTCCCAAGTTCTTACCTCTTTCTTGACCCACAGCAAACAAATTGATACAAACCATCTTAATCAAGCAATACTTACCCAATAGTCCTGTCTAATCAATTTTAATAATGAACAAAAGGCAAACTTAGAACATGAGAATAATATATTAATAACATGCTAGTTAAAAGTAGGGAGGCATCATGGATTAATGAAATTTAGAGTCAGTAGATTTGATTTCAAATCCCCACTGTCATTCAATAGCTGTATGACCTTAGGCAAGTCGTACCCTTTTTAAACCTCAGTCTATAGTAGAATTCAAACTACTTCAAAAGGTGTGAGGAGAACCCATTGAGACAAAAGTACATGACAGGGACAAGTACAATAGTTGGAAGATACCAGTTATTCAGTGCCTGTTTCAAGTGCACAACTAGGGATACAGGTGGCAAGACCACATTAGCTCCTGCCACTAAAGATACTACAATCTTACTGTAGTTCATTTGTCATCCTCGATGCTGGATTCCTTTGAGAAAGCCATAGGAAGTGAACAGAAGTTTTGAAGGATGATGTCATATCCTGTATTTACCTGTCCTGATAGGAATGAAGTTGTTAATAGCTACTTTGGTATTTGCATACCTTTCCTGGTGAGTTTCAAAAATAAAGGGAAAGTTGCCAACCTCCACACTTTCCAGTAAATTTCCACTTGACTCCAAGAAGAGCCAGCCCTTCAGAAGAGTAACTGGCATATGAAGACACAGTCAAACTGTTTAAGCACATCAGTGCTATACTTGGTTTCGGTATCAGTAACATTCAAGAGCCCTTATCATTACACATATAGAATCCACAATATAATATGCAATTAGCTGAATAAATTTAATACTTTTGGTCTGCATTGTAAAACATGGAGAAGAGACGCATATATGTGCTCACAGAACACACATGAATGACACGTTATAGTTGACTGGTGTAGAAAAACACACAAAATCAAGAGGCAAGATCCATAGATCCATATATTAGATCCATACTTGATTATTTTTGTTTTCTACTCACGTTCACAGACAGGAAACTTATTATTCCACTTTACTGTCATTCCTTCTGGGACACACTGACTAGAAGAATTGCCATTTAGCCGGAACCTTGAACAATAAGGTTTAGAACAAATCACTTCTTAGTTCCACAGAATTAATCCCTTTTCTCAAGTATTAATAGAATCTACACTTTAAAGAATTTCCAGCTTCAGGAAGAAATCCAAGGTTTCTGCCACAGGGTGAATTCAGACAAGGTCAAAACACAGAGAAAGTAACCCTAGGAATAGTATTTTTTTGTTGTTGTTTGAATTCTCCCTTGCCGCTTTGGCATCCAAATGTCAAGATTTTCTTGACTATCATGAAGAAAGCAGCCTCAGTTCCTAGGGAAGAAAACATCAAAGATCTTATTTCCCAAGATGACTCCAAGGAGTCTCTCTTATGGAACCCAAATCATGTATTAATTCTCTATAACAGGAGCCTTAATTTCTGAACAAAAACTTTGCTTTTCCAAATGATGAAAAGACAATTCCCAGTTTGGCTGACCATGTACAGTACACACACTTGAAGAAAATAGAAAAGATTTTGTTAGTTTCAGATTTCTTAGTCATAAAGAATAAAACAAAGAGAGAAAAAAGTCAGAGAAAAAGTATCTTTAGAGCTAATATTTCACAATGCTTAGCTATGGGTAGACATCAACTCAGGTCCTATCACCTCACACTCACCCTTTATTACAAACAAAGGAAACCTCTGCCCCCAGCTGAAGATTAGGAGGACGAATCACACGGCCATTGAGAAGTTGGTTGGGAATGGCACCACACGATTTCACTAGGAAAGAAGAGACAAGGATGGCACAGGGAGGGTCAGGAAACAGATGAGTTTCCTTTATATGGGATAGAACTTTAGGCACCTTCACATTTGGGGACTGCAGGGTTCCAGGTTCCCAAGGATGTGCACTGTACAAGATTAGTTCCAATGAGAGTGTAGCCCGGCTCACAGCTGTAGGACACTTCCTGTCCAATTGAAAAGAATTCCTTATCCTTTTTGTTATAATTACCGTGGAGGATAGGTGGAGGTGGCAGACATCCTGAGAAGAGAACAGGACCAGAAAGTCCTTTTACTTCTGAAATGAGAACTTGTCCTCTTACAACTTACACTGAGCTTGGGGTTGCTATGGGGGTGTTGAAAGTGCTCATGTCAGCTCTCTATGTGTAAGGCAGAGATTCCTTTGGGTAAGGAAGGTTGAGTGGTGCTAATGTGAGTTATTCTGTTCAGATATGATGAACTTTGCAACTGTTGGTTTTCCCTTTCTTGATCTATGCCAGAAAAACCCTGCACTCACTCATCATTTTTCATTTCCTTCAATTTAAGAGTCTGGGACACCCTTTCAATAACAGTGTAGTCGAGAGAGCCAAACTTTTGTGACACATTTTTTACCACCAAAATCTACCTCTTCCTTTCTGCTCCCAAAACAAGGTTGATGAGGTTTGTGAAAGGAGTTCCCAATGTTGTGAGGTTTTTAGAAAGTCAGATACTATCTAACAAAAAGGAAAGAAGGGTGTTCAGAGAAATGAATACATTGTGTAATATTCAAGTCAAGATAAATGTATCCTCTCAAACATCTATCATTTCTTTGTTGTGAAAACTTTGAAAACCCTTCCAGCTTTTTTGACACATACAGTATGTTTCCATTCTATTTACAGCCATCTCCAGAACTTATGTCTCCTATCCAACAGAAGTACCTGTTAGAGTACTTTTTCCTGTGTCTCCCAGTCTCTGGTAAACACTATTCTACATCGACTTTTTTAGATTGCACATATGAATGAGAACATGTGGTATTTGTCTTTCTGTGCTTGGCTTATTTCTCTTAAGATCATCATCACCAATTATGTCCATAGATGGAAAGTTTTTTATCCCTTTTGGTGGCTGAATGACATCCCACTGTGTGTACGTACTATGTTTTCATTATCTATTTGCCAGCTGATGGACATGTAGGTTGTGTACACTTCACAGCTGTTGAGAACAGTGCTGCAATAAACATGAAAGTGCAGGCACACCTTTTCCACAGACTGATTTGGTTTCCATTGGTTATAAACTCAGCACTGGGTTTGCTGTGTCATTTGGTCATTCTTTTTAAATTTTTTTTTGAGTAACCTCCAGTCTGTTAATCCATAATGGCTGTACTAATTTATATTTCCACTAACAGTAGTAAAGGATCCCTTTTCCTCACATTCTCAACAGCACTTACTATAGTTTGTCTTTTTTTTTTTTTTGGTATTTTATTTTTTTATTCATTTATTCACATGTGCATACATTGTTTGGGCCATTTCTCCGCCCTGTTCCCCACCCTCTCCCTCTCTCCCCCACCCCCCTAGCTTCCAGGCAGAATCTGTTCTGCCCTTATCTCTAATTTTGTTGAAGAGAAAACATAAGCAATAATAAGAAAGACAAAGTGTTTTTGCTAGTTGAGATAAGGACATCTATACAGAGAGATTCTTAGGATTGCTTCCATGTACAAATGTGTTACATCCCAAATTGATTCATCTCTAACTGACCTTTTCACTAGTTCCTGATCTGTTTCCCAATTGACCTCTGTCCCTTTAAGGTTTCTGTATTAGTTCTTCTACAGTGGGGACATTAAATACTTTCATGTTTTGGGTTTCTATAGTTTGTCTTCTTTGGTAGTAGCCATTCTAACTGGGGTGAAGTGGTCTCATTGTGGCTTTATTTGCTTTTTACTGATGAGGAGCATGTTAATACACCTGTTGGCCATTTTTATGTCTTCTTTTGGAAAATGTCTATTTATGTCTACTGGTTTACTGTCCATTTTTAAATTAGACTATTTCATTTTTTTGCTGTTGAGTTGTTTGAGTTCCTTATATGTTCCCTTATTACATACATAGTTTGCAAACATCCATTGATTCTTTACTGCATTGGGTAGAAGCCTTTTATTGTGGTAGTACTTGGGTTTGAACTCAGGGCCTCATGCTTGCTAAGTAAATGCTCTACACCTTGAGCTATGTCCCAACCTTTTCTTTTTTCTTTAGTTTATTTTTCAGATAAAGCCTGACACTTTTTCAGGGTCAGTCCTTGGATCATGATCCTCCTGTCTCCCTTTCCTGCATAGCTGGGATTATAGGTATGAGCCACTACATAGTTTGATGTAATTCCATTTGTCTGGTTTTGCTTTTGTTCACATTCCAATGTCCTGAAGCATTTCAGCAATGTTTTCTTCTAGTAGTTTAATGTCTTAAATTTTAAGTCTTTAATCCATTTTGAGAATTTTAAAAAAGTATCTCGTAATTTTTCCTACATTACTATAGATATAATACTGTTCCAGAATATAATACAAATTCTTACCTCTTCAAAGTTTAGATATTACTTCCAAATATACTTTCCAATTCTTTAATCAGGAAACTCAGCCATATATGCTTTCTTCCTACTACTCCTCTCATAGGTACCATGTATCTATTCTACGAAAAACCTATTTTAATTTCCAGATATCCAAAGTGATAGCTCAACTTACCCCTGAAACATGTTGGCAGTGGTGGATCCCATATGCTGTTTGGTTGGCACTGTACTATGTTGCTGCCTTTCATAGTAAAGCCAGGCTTACACTTAAATGTCACCATATCATTTAAAGAAAATGAATGTCTAAATCCAGATTCCATAATTCCATTTTCAACTTCTGGAACTGGGCACTTGACTAGAGCAATGCATCGAGGGGGAGGGCTGCTCCAGACGCCAACTTGATTGTCTTTGGTGGTGCAATATATTGACTTTTCACCCACCAGGTCAAATAGCTTTTCCCCATTTCGTCCAAGATGGCAATGATAAGTGA